CTTTTGAACTGTGGTTGACTGAGGAGGGACTACTGTAAAGTCAGAGTCCTTATTTTGTAGACTAGCTAGTTCTAAATTCTATGTGTATATAAATTTACATGTTTTTTCAACTTTAGAGAATAGGCCCTAGGTCTTACTCACCTTCAGTCCCCCTCAATATAGGGTCTTACCCATGTATGTTGCTTAGAAGTTAAAAACAACTTCCAGTAGCCTTTTTGGTAGAATTATCTCTCATAGGGTATAAGAATGGGATTATTTAAATTCCTCTCATACCTTGTATTCCAATAAAAGTAAATTGCCCAAGAATCTAAATGACTATGAGCATATTTTGTAGCTATATTGGACAAATGGGCCTGGGAACGAAAGGGTTTGAATGTAGTTAATCTTCAGCACTACAAATGGTCAGGCTGTTTGCAGTTACCACGGAGACTTTCCTGTTCCATAGGTTGTTGAGGAGACCAGACCCAACAAGAAGGTTTGGTTAGGAGAAACAAGCTCTGCATACGGGGGTGGAGCACCTCTGCTGTCCAATACCTTTGCTGCTGGCTTTATGTGAGTGAAGAAGCACTTGGCTCAGGGACCAGATAGCAGCATTCTACTATCCTTTTATTAAGTTGAAATAGCTCATCAGCCAAAAGCTGATCAAAGACAATTTCTGTGGTTGAGCCCCAAAATTTGTGCCAGATATTGCAAGAAAATGATTTACTAAAGTTTGCTGGACATCTTTAATGTGTGTCCCAAATAATCATTTATGAATGAATTGCTTTAGAAGTGTTGTTCCTTGATTATGGCTGTTAAGTATGCCAAGGATTCCTTCCTTTACAGGAGATGATGAAAGAGTGCATCTAGAGCTGTGACTCAGCCTCTAAACTTCTTGGGAATCTATGAATATAGCTACAAATATTATATTCATGGATTCCCAAGAAGTTTAGAGCCTGAAGTATGAGATCACATCAGAGGAGCTACCAATGAGTTTAAAGATTGAATACATCACCTCACTAACCAACCACCACAATCTTGATTGCTTTAAATAACTGGCTTACTTATGATTAATCCATAAGTCTGCTAACACTCTTATTAATCTAAATTCTGTATCTTCACATTGAGACATATTCTCTTACCTCTCCTATCCTTATTCTTGTAAGTCCAGAATAAAGCACAAATCTTTATGCTCATGGAGGGTATGAGGCATATAGAGAGAATGGATTTTGTTTTGCCATTAACTAAAGATGCAGTGGAGGAGATGTCCAAAAAGTTAAGTGTGATTTCTACTTATTTCACATTTTACTACTGCTGACTATTAGCAACCTTTCTTCAAACCTCACATGGGACTGTGAAGGCAAGGGGTATCCCGAAGATAGAGAATAATCATCTATAGGGATGGGAATTTGTCCACTCTGCTTAGCAGAAGTTGCCTTACCCTGAAAGGGACTCCTATGGCATATTAATGGTCTTTAAGGATTTTTATCATGCTGAAGTATGAGAACATACTAAGGGAAGGATGGTCTCCATTTCATTTGATGACTTAATTATAATTAATACTACTTTTCTAGTTTCCTGTCAGTTCCTCCCACATAGATGAATAAATCAGAATAGTGTGTAATTAGAATTGGGTTACTTTTCCAAGCCTGAAGAAATATGGGCCTTACTTTATTCCAGGTGGCTGGATAAATTGGGTCTGTCAGCCAGAATGGGCATAGAAGTGGTGATGAGGCAAGTGTTCTTCGGAGCTGGAAACTATCACTTAGTGGATAAAAACTTCGAACCTTTACCTGTAAGTGACCATTATTTTCCTGATTCTGTGAGTAGACTCCCATATACTGAGGGTCCTTATTTTTTTAGCTCCTATGAAGAGCAAATCCTCTCAATAAATTCAGTGCTCTCAGTACCATGGAATGATGAATTGAAAGAAATCTTAGAGATCTTCCATTCTAACATTTTTGTGTCTCAAGAGAAGAAATTCTAACATTTTGTGTCTTATGAGAAGAGAAGAAATTAATGTGGGCCATTTGGTGCATGGTATGGGGTCTTTAAACAAAGGGTAATTTGAAATTTTATGACTCTAATTTTACAAGATAACAAACTTAGATCAAAAAATGTTTGCAAAGTAAATTAAAGTGAAAATTACCTATGGTATCCAAAGTTTCAAAACTTTTTTATGTTATGAAATAATTTATTTAACTTTAAGATAAGCCAGTATCATGTATTTGCTCAAAAAAATCTCACCCTAAGAATTGGTTATTTTGTTAATACTCTCTAACATTTATGAATGAAGTCTAATTTACACCCTATCTCCTACTGCATCTGGTACTAAATCAAGAAATGTAGACTTTCTATCTAAAAAGCTACCTGACAGATTTATGTCTAAAAATTGGGTTAGTGTAGATAGAGCTCTGGGAAGTATGACCTTGATTTTTAGTCTAAAATGGCATTTGAGGGCATCTATTTTCTAAGAATAATTCCTAAGGGAATTATTTGAATAGTATAGGAAAGCTAAGAAAGTTTGCAAAAAGCACATGCCAAAATATAAACTAGGCTTTTGTGGTTTGTAGATAGATTTCTCAACAAAGTTGCTTTTAATCTTTAGTGGTCCAAGCTCATGGAGCACACTATTCATAACTTATAGAAAATTCTTAGAAAAATGGCCTTGTTAAAAAATGAAATCTATCTTCTCCAAGTATAAGTCAACTGTAGAGTTAAACCAAATGATATTTTCATTAGGCAAATATCCAAAATCTGGCCCTTTCTTAAATGCACCTTGAACATGGAAGGTAAATAAGTAGCTTCTAAAAAATTCACTTTGAGTATAATGGCTAGGAATTAACCAGCTTATTCTGTCACTCTTTGTAAGTAGCAACAGCTATTTATTATGTTAACAAAATCTTTTCAATGCCCAAACATAAACCTTTGGCTTAAGAACCCTTTGTATATGCATTAAATATACTTCTTCCTCAAAGTTCACAGTTGGCTAGAAAAACTTGCAAGAATAGTAAAAGGTACCCTTTGACACCTGCAGGATACAAGGGAATCAGCTTTAAATCTACCAGCTTTAAATTTCCCTATTTGATTTCAATAACAGTACTGGAAATGGGCAAGGCAGGTATTTTAGATCCATTTTCAAATGAGGAAGTTCAAACTGAGATCAGGCTGTGTGATTTGCTGGAGGTCACACAGTTGTTCTGTGTTACTTGAAAGAATCCTGCACAAATCCTGGCCGAGGCCTGCTTTCTACCCTACCACTCACTGAACCAGGCTGAAGTTGTCTCATTTGAAAACATGTAATTGGTTTTACTCGTCTCCAGTGAAAAATCTGATTTTAAGCAGGGAAACAAAAGCTGTTTTTCTATTGAGTCTACCTTTCCTCAGCTTAAGAGGGAGGAAGAGTTGTGGCATATATTGAGTGGGGTTCTTAAAAAAAGCACAGTCTTTTTATTGTGGAAAATTTCAAAGTATGTAAGTATATGAATCCCCATTGTTGTTTAATCCAGAATCCTACCTGCTCCTCACCTCCCACCTACTAGATTGCTTTCAAGCAAATCTCAGATATATCATTTTATCCATAAATATTTCAGTATGTATCTCGTTTGTAAAAACATAACAAAGTATCATTATCATACTTTAAATAATGTTAGCAATAATTCCTCAATATCATCAAATATTTAGTGTTTCACATTTTCCTTTTCATATCAGATGTTTCTAATAGTTGGTTTATTCACATCAGAATCCAAACAAGGTCCATGTATTGCCTTTGGTTGATATATCTCTTAAGTCTGTTAATTGTGAAGTTCTTCCTTCCTCTCCTATCTTGTCCCTTGGAATTTAATAATTAAAGAAAACAAGTACACATGGTGATTAGACTTGCCATGACGATCATTCATAATGTGTGAACATAGTGGGTCACCATGATATACACCCAAAATTAATAGGTTATTTATTGTATGTCAGTTATACTTCAGTAAAAAAAGAAGAAAAAGAAACCAGGTAATTTGTTTTATAGTGTTTCCCACAACCTGGATTTTGCTAAATTTATTCCTATGGTATCAGTTAGCGTGTTAACCCCGTGTTCCATCTTTCCTGTACACTGGTAGGTAGACCTTGAGGCTAGAGCTTATCAGATTCTTGTTTTTGTTTTGTTTTCAAGAATTCTTTATAGCAGATGTGTGTGTCCATCAAGAGATACATAATGTCTGCTTGTCATTCTTTTTTTACCTTGCTAGCCAATGATGATTGTTACCTAATACATTATTTTATTGGGGGGGGGGCAGGCAATGGTTATAAGGTTTTAAAGGAAACTGTTTTAGTGTCTTAAACATACAGAAGCTCTATGTTTAAAATTTGCCTTTGTGTGCAATCATGTGTGTGTGTGTGTGTACACATGTGTGTACCTAAAAGTTTGGCTTTGAGCTTTGCTTTGAATTCTTGCATGATAGACAAAAAAGAATATTTAAACTCTCTCTCAGCAATATTGCCCTCAGATTCATGGTGGTAACATGGACCAAATGAGGTATTCTGTTTAAATACCTCTAGGATAATAGTCCCAGTCTTTATAGGATAGCTATTTGCTTGACACTGTTTTTGTTAAATAAATAACTAAATAAAGATCTATTTTTGCCCTTCCCCTTCCCAACCACCACAACTAGGACTATTGGCTATCTCTTCTGTTCAAGAAGCTGGTAGGCACTAAAGTATTAATGGCAAGTGTGAAAAGTCCAGAAAGAAGCAAACTTCGAGTATACCTCCACTGCACAAACATCAACCAGTACGTATGCAACACACTCTTTTCCAGGCAACAAGCTTTAATCAGTAAGCACGTGGCTTCCTGCTCTGACACCCTGTGGTCCTCTATTCAGTGGGTCTAAGGCTTGTCATTGGTCTTTACTTTTATTTCTGCTTTCACAGTGACATGGTGCCAGAGTTTAACTAAAAATAAATAAATAATAAATAATGGGCATTTGCAATCTAGCATAAATTCGTACACTGATTTTGTCATAATCCATACTAGAAATACACTCTGACTTTAAATGAATAAAGAAAAGGACAAATTTAAGAACACGTAACTATTTTTATTTGAACAGTTAAGTCATTGAAATTATGAGTGAATATAAATATGAATGTGGATTCACATGAATGATTATATGAATATAGTCATATCTGACAAATTCAATAAAGGAGAAGAATTAAGAGGAATTAGTTAAAATTAATTTTAAGAGAAGAATTAGAAAAATAATTAAAAGAAGGAGGAGAACAATAGTAACAACAATCTTGTTTTCAGAAGTTTCAACCCAATTTCTGGAGTTGAGAGGCCACATAGATTTTTGTAGCCCAGTTCTCTGGCCTCTGGTAGCAAAATATGCTCCTAAGTCTTGGAGATTTCTCTCTGCTCAGTCTGTCCTTCCTGATAACATGATACTAAAATAATAACTCTTGCCAAAAACATCTATCATTTCCAATTTCTAGTGAGTGGGAACTTTAGGGATAGTAAGGTCCAACTAGGAAAAAACAGGAAATGGTTTGGATAGAAATTCTGAAAAGTGTCAACAGATTTAATTTTCTTGTTTCAGTTTTTTTGTAAGGTTAGAAAAACTCCTGTTTATCTGGTTTATAATTTGAATTAACATGAACCCTCAAAATTCACCTTTTACCATTTGACCTTCCTATGTTAAAATGCACAGCCTGACCAGCTTCCTAGAACTCAGCCTGGCAAGAGTTGGTAATGGGAAGTGGGAAGAGGAATGTTTTTAATCATGTTTTCACATAGGACCACACTAGTGGTCTAATATATTGTGAAAAGAATAATAAGAGGCCCCACATCACTGTAGATACTAATATTAATATCCACAATTATGTTTGTAATCAAGTTTTCAATTGTTTAAATTAGATAAATATTTTTATTGAGTTGATCTTTTTTTTTAGCCCAAGATATAAAGAAGGAGATTTAACCCTGTATGCCCTAAACCTCTATAATGTCACCAAGCGCTTACAGTTGCCATATTACTTATTTGACAAACGAGTGGACAAATACCTCATAAAACCTTCAGGACCTGATGGATTACTTTCCAAGTGAGTTATTTTCCACGTTCATTTCAAATTTTCACCGATTTGTTGGTGTTTATCAGAATAGAAAGTGTTCAAAGGGAGCAAAAGAAAAAAAAAACTACTATTTCAAGTTCTAACAATTCTTAATACCCAGGAAGTTTATATAGAATACTTATCAATACAAGTAGGACTTTGAGAGTCCAAGGCAGGATAAGAACACAAACAAGCAGTTTATCTTAGGGAATAGTTTGTGTTTCAAAACAACTTGATGTATCAGGATCCACTCGAGGCTTTTAGATTACTTGCTCTAAAAAGACTTAAACAAAACAAGCATACTTTGATAAAATCGCTACTAAGAGCATGGAGGTTGACATAGAATATTATATCATATAAGGTGAGTGTGATTCTCTTATAGCATTGTTTTTTATTGGTTAGAGTAAGAAAACAGAATAGTCAAAAATGTGCCTTTTAAGTGGATTATTTGAAGCTGGTTCCTACTACATTTTGGTTTTAAAAGGCAGTCATTGACTGTCTTATGAAAGAAGATACTCAGCAGAAAACCCAAGAATGATCAGGAGCCTGGAAGAGTCAGGAACACAAACATTGTAAGATTTCTGTCCAGTGGCTATTGGAAGGGGCTCTTTTCTCTATGATTATTTACATTGAAGCATACAAAATGAAGAGTTTACAAAATTCTTACTATCTCTTCCCATATCTGCAAAATGTTATATGAGTGTTTTCCTAACAATAAACATCAGAACCTGAAAAAAGTGCAGTAAGCATGCATTCCCCCAAATCCTGTCCCCCATACAGAAGTGTTATTAACACTGGGTACTGTTCCTTTATTTTTTCCCCATGCTTTATTTTACTATAACTATAATCATACAACTTCTGTGGAAAAAAGGCGGGGAAACCCACACAAGTTTTCCCAAGTGTCTTTTCATACATAGCCTTTGTTGATGGGCTTCACGTTTTATAAAATACCATGGTTTTACTTACCATTTTTCTACTGTTTAATCTTTTTTTCCTGTTGTAAATAATGCATATTGGGTAACAGATACTTTTCTCCATTTGGGTTCTGATCCTTGGTGAAGTGGGTATTTTTAGCATATTTGTGTCTGATGCTAATAAGGGGAAAGCTTTTCTGAAGTAATTGAATAATAGTTGTGAGTTGGAAGTGCCTTACAAGATCATTTTACTCTAACCTCAGTTGGGTATTTGTGGCCCGTGGGCTCTGTTTGACTTCTCTGTTGGATATCACAGACTCTCCTGGCAACTGTTCTCTCTGACGAGGATAAAGTGAGCATTCTGTGATGCTCTTAGATCTATTCTCTAAAGCAGATGTTGGCAACTACACCTCATGTCTGTGGACAAGAGGGCTTAGAGAAATTTTCTTCTCTTTCTGGTAAAGGAAGTTGGTATGAACTCTGTGTTTTTATTTTATTTATTTTGGTGTGAAGAAGGTTTGTTATAATGTAGAAATTGGCAGGAAATTATAAATTCACTGTTCTTTTTCATGTTTTTAAAATTTTTTAAACTTTTTTTTGTATCATTAATATACAATTACATGAGCAACATTGTGGTTACTAGACTCCCCCCATTATCAAGTCCCCACCACATACCCCATTACAAACACTGTCCATCAGCATAGTAAGATGCTATATAATCACTACTTGTCTTCTCTGTGCTATACTGCCTTCCCCGTGCCCCACCCTACATTATGTGTGCTAATTGTAATGCCCCCTTTTCCTCTTATCCCTCCCTTCCCACCCATCTTCCCCAGTCCCTTTTCCTTTGGTAACTGTCAGTCCATTCTTGGGCTCTGTGAGTTTGCTGCTGTTTTGTTCCTTCAGTTTTTTCTTTTTCTTTTAAACTTTTTATTAAAGTATTATTGATATATACTCTTATGAAGGTTTCACATGAAAAAACCATGTGGTTACTACGTGTACCCATATTATCAAGTCCCCACTCATACCCCAATGCAGACACTGTCCATCAGTGCAACAAGATGCCACAGATCCACTATGTGCCTTTTCTGTTCTACACTGTTCTCCCCATGATCCCCCACACCATGTGTAAACATAATACCCCTCAATCCCCTTCTCCCTCCCTCCCCACCTGCCCTCCCACACCCCTCCCCTTTGGTAACCACTAGCTCCTTCTTGGAGTCTGTGAGTCTGCTGCTATTTTATTCCTTTACTTTTGCTTTGTTGTTTTACTCCACAAATGAGGGAAATCATTTGGCACTTGCCTTTCTCCACCTGGCTTATTTCACTGAGCATAATGTCCTCCAGCTCCATTGATGTTGTTGCAAATGGTAGGATTTGTTTCTTTCTTATGGCTGAATGGCTGAATAGTATTCCATTGTGTATATGTACCATATCTTCTTAATCCATTCATCTACTGATGGACATTTAGGTTGCTTCCATATATTGGCTATTGTAAAAAGTGCTGCAATAAACATAGGGGTGCATATGTCTTTTGAATCTGAGAAGTTTTATTCTTTGGGTAAATTCCAAAGAGTGGGAATCCCGGGTCAAATGGTATTTCTATTTTTAGTTTTTTGAGGAACCTCCATATTGCTTTCCACAATGGTTGAACTAACTTACATTCCCACCAGCAGTGTAGAAGGGTTCCCCTTTCTCCGCATCCTCGCCAGCATTTGTTGTTCTTAGTGTTTTCGATGCTGGCCATCCTTACTGGGGTGAGGTGATATCTCATTGTGGTTTTAGTTTTCATTTCCCTGATGATTAGTGGTGAGGAGCATCTTTTCATGTGTCTGTTGGCCCTCTTCTTTGGAGAACTGTTTCTTTATATCCTCTGCCCATTTTTTAATCAGGTTATTTCCTTTTTGGGTGTTGAGGTGTATGAGTTCTTTATATATTTTGGAATTTAACCCCTCGTCGAATATGTCATTTACAAATATATTCTCCCATACTGTAGGAGGCCTTTTTGTTCTGTTGATGGTGTCCTTTGCCGTACAGAAACTTTTTAGTTTGGTGTAGTCTCATGAGTTCATTTGTGGTTTTGTTTCCCTTGCTCAAGGAGATGCATTCAGGAAGAAGTTGCTCATGCTTATTTATATTCAGGAGATTTTTGCCTATGTTGTCTTCTAAGAGTTTTATGGTTTCATGACTTACATTCAGGTCTTTGATCCATTTGGAGTTTACTTTTGTGTATGGGGTTAAACAATAATCCAGTTTCATTCTCTTGCATGTAGCTGTCCAGTTTTGCCAACACCAGCTGTTGAAGAGGCTGTCATTTCCCCATTGTATGTCCATGGCTCCTTTATCATATATTAATTGACCATATATGGTTGGGTTTGTATCAGGGCTCTCTACTCTGTTCCATTGGTCTATGGGCCTGTTCTTGTGCCAGTACCAAATTGTCTTGATTACCATGGCTTTGTAGTAGAGCTTGAAGTTGGGTAGCATAATTTCCCCTGCTTTATTCTTCCTTCTCAGGATTGCTTTGGCTATTTGGGATCTTTTGTGGTTCCATATGAATTTTAGAATGATTTTCTCTAGTTCATTGAAGAATGCTGCTGGTATTTTGATAGGAATTGCATAGAATCTGTAGATTGCTTTAGGCAGTATGGCCATTTTGATAATATTAATTCTTTCTATCCATGAGCACGGGATGTGTTTCCATTTATTGGTATCTTCTTTAAAATCTCTCATGAGTGCCTTGTAGTTTTCAGAGTATAGGTATTTCAGTTCCTTGGTTAGGTTTATTCCTAGGTATTTTATTCTTTTTGATGCAACTGTGAATGGAATTGTTTTCCTGATTTCTCTCTCTGCTACTTCATCTTCAGTGTATATGAATGCAACAGATTTCAGTGTATTAATTTTATATCCTGCAACTTTGCTGAATTCAGATATTAGATCTAGTAGTTTTGGAGTGGATTCTTTAGGGTTTTTTATGTACAATATCATGTCATCTGCAAACAGGGACAGTTTAACTTCTTCCTTGCCAATCTGGATGCTTTTTATTTCTTTTTGTTGTCTGATTGCCATGGCTAGGACCTCCAGTACTATGTTGAATAGAAGTGGGGAGAGTGGACATCCTTGTCTTGTTCCCTATCTTAAAGGAAAAGCTTTCAGCTTCTCGCTGTTAAGTATGATGTTGGCTGTGGGTTTGTCATATATGGCCTTTATTATGTTGAGGTACTTGCCCTCTATACCCATTTTGTTGAGAGTTTTTATCATGAATGGATGTTGACAAATGCTTTGTCAGCATCTATGGAGATGATCATGTGGTTTTTGTCCTTCTTTTTGTTGATGCGGTGGATGATGTTGATGGATTTTCTAATGTTGTACCGTCCTTGCATCCTTGGAATAAATCCTACTTGAACATGATGGATGATCTTTTTGATGTATTTTTGAATTTGGTTTGCTAATATTTTGTTCAGTATTTTTGCATCTATGTTCATCAGGGATATTGGTCTGTAATTTTCTTTTTTTGTGGTGTCTTTGCCTGGTTTTGGTATTAGAGTGATGCTGGCCTCATAGAATGAGTTTGGATATATTCCTTCTTCTACGATTTAGAAAACTTTAAGGAAGATGGGTATTAGGTCTTCACTAAATGTTTGATAAAATTCAGTAGTAAAGCCATCTGGTCCAGGGGTTTTGTTCTTAGATAGGTTTTTGATTACCAGTTCAATTTCGTTGCTGGTAATTGGTCTCGTCAGATTTTCTGTTTCTTCCTGGGTCAGCCTTGGAAGGTTGTATTTTTCTAGAAAGTTGTCCATTTCTTCTAGTTTATCCAGTTTGTTAGCATATAATTTTTCATAGTATTCTCTAATAATTCTTTGTATTTCTGTGGTATCCATAGTGATTTTTCCTTTCTCATTTCTGATTCTGTTTATGTGAGTAGACTCTCTTTTTTTCTTGATAAGTCTGGCTAGGGGGTTATCTATTTTGTTTACTTTCTGGAAAAATCAGCTCTTGCTTTCATTGATTCTATTGTTTTATTCTTCTTGAATTTATATATTTCTGCTCTAATCTTTATTATGTCCCTCCTTC